ATCTGCTCATCCACATAATGGGGAGAGGAGTGGTGTCCTGAGGCTTGAGACACACACCCATGAGGTACTGTGTCATTCCAGGCCTTGCTGTGTGGTCAGCAAATGTGTCCACGATGCCCATCAGCAGTGGGGAGAATCGCGGGCCATCCCAGGTGACCAGGTGGCCTTGCACATGGTTGGGGACTGCGGGCATCATCTAAGCCTCCCCCACCCCAATAAAAGGTAGCCCGCATTCTTCCCCCTGATGGCAGGGACAGGCTGGAGCTCCTGGGAGTGGAGGCTTTCCAACGCTAGAGCAGTCCCTTCCCCACAATGCTAAGAAAACAAGGCCTGGCCTGGCCCACACGTGGCAGGTCTGCCCGAGGCTGGGCCCAGAGGTCAGCCTGACCCCCGTGATTGCTCCCTGACACTTCCTCCCTGCCAGCCACCCCCACCCACTAACCCCTGGATCTCTGGAATAAGCGGGGCTCTGTTAGGCCGGGACCTTCAGGTGTCACCACCCAGCTGCTGAGCCCGCCAGCCCTTCAGGCAGGTGGGCCTGAGTGCCGGAAGCGCCGGCACTTCCTCCAGCCCTGATGGGGTCAGGGATGGCGGCTAATTGGAGGATGCCGGGCTGATGCCTGTCTCCGGCTTCCTGCCGCCTTGCCTGGGGAGGTCACTGTGGGCAGTGGCCCACCCCCAGCCTCTGCAACACAGACAGAAGTTCATTCCCAACGGCAGGTATTTAACTGGCCAACTTGCAAATGCTCTACTGAGGCCTAGTCTCTCCATGTTCCCCCGAAACTCACATGCTCAACCCTTGAGAAATGCTCCAAGAACTGCAATAACCACTGTAATAATAGGCTATAGTTTCTCAGTCCCCATTCTATGCCAGTTACGATAAATCCTCTATTCGTCAGCGCAGGCCAGCTGCTGTAACAAACAATCCCCAAACTCAGTGAGTTGGCTGTGAAGGGGTTATTTTGTCTGGGGTGGTCAGGTTAGGAGCTGCTGGAGACTGCAGACAGGGACAGCAGGGAAGAAGGGGCAGGAGTACCAGGAAGGACTGCTGGGCTCGCTGATGGCTCTCTGGAGGTGATGGGCTGGAAGTGAAAGTGAGAAAGTCGGCGTGGTGGAGGGTTGCTGTATCAGTCAGGGCCCTCCAGAAACACAGAACCAATAAGATATCTGTTTAAAGGAACTGGCTCACCTGACCATGGCAGCTGACAAGGCTAAAACCCGCAGGCAGTCTTGAGGCAAAATTTCTTCTTCTTCAGGAAAGTGTGTCTTTCCTCTTAAGAACTTTCAACTGATTAGATGAGGCCCACTCACATGATAGAGGGGAATGCCCTTTCTCAAAGGCAACGGACTGTAGACGGTAAGCACATCTACAGAACATCCTCACGGTAACCTGACTGGCAGGTGACAGTTGCTGGATGCTGTAGCCGGGCCATGCAGACATCTCTCTCACCTTCCAGTGCTCTCTGCGCGGCTGGTGGGGCCGGGCTCACCCCAGGCATATATGAGGGAGGGCAGGAGGGTACGCACTGCCTGGGTGAAAGCCGGGGGCTTAATGCCACCTCTTAGAATCACAGCTGGCTGCAGCGGGAGGTGAGGAAGTAGAGGCAAGAGACGGGAAGCCCCCGTGGATTCCTGTGGCGTCAGGCATTGCTAGAGGTGGCACTGCATAGTAGAAAGATAGGCAGTAGTCAGAAATCGAGATTATGGGAGTAGCACTTTTGGGTCAGAGCAAGATTGGGGTCTGAGCATGAGTGGGAGTGGTGGGGGCAGGATGGGGCTGAGCAGTGGGTGCTGGGGCACTGTCCACGTGGGTCCTGGGCTATCGAGGATTGGCAAGGAAGACACTGAAGTGTACACACATGAGCCAGGACCTGCCTGGCATGAGGGGAGGGAACTCAGAGGGTAGGTGGCAGCAACCAGGACCACGAAGGTTGAGGGAGACCGATGGCATGAGCTTCAATGGGGACAGATTTCAGGAGAAGGCAGGGACAATGGTCATCCAGCCGACACCCCCCACCCCCCAGGCCCAGCAGTAAGCAGGGAGGGGAGAGAAATCCCCATCCTTTGACAAGGGCAGAGGAAGCAAGATTCAAAGAAAGAACCAGACTTCAGTGACAGCCAGGGGGCACAAGGAGGTTGCAGCTAAAAAGAGAATTTACTGAGGGCGGGTTGGGGTCGGTGGCAGGAGGCCTCAGCAATTGGGAAGGTGTGATACTGGGTCCTACCAGGGCAAGGACAAAGCCTGGACATCCAGACAAAGATGTGCCTGGGACCTCATTGATAAAGATGGAGCATGATGTCTGGAACTCGGTAGTCACTCGATAAATGGTTGTCTAATGGCCACATCCCTCATTGCCACGCAGGCAAAACGTGGTGGCCCAGTGCGGGTGCCGGGGCAGCCTTCCCTGCCACTTAGCCGGCCGGATGACACTGAACCACTGAACAAGGGACCCCCACCTCTCTGAGTCTCCTTGTCTGGGATTTAAGGCCCATCAACACCTACCTTCCTAGGAAGGCTGGAGGTCACATCCCCTGGCTCCTAGCAGGTACATCACAGACTGGCTTCTCTACCACCAGGGACCCCTGACCGCTGAACAGTCACAGCAAGCATTCTGTGCCGCCTGACTTACTGTGTGACCCCAGAAAGCCACGTTTCCTCTCTGGGCCTCAGTTTCTCTGCTGTGAAATGGGAGGATGGCCAAACCACTGCCGTTTTGCATGACAACAGACAGAAACCACATTATATAGAGCTGGGAGGTCTAGTACAGTGATGGCGAACCTTTTGAGCTCGGCGTGTCAGCATTTTGAAAAGCCCTAACTTAAATCTGGTGCCGTGTCACATACAGAAATTTTTTGATATTTGCAACCATAGTAAAACAAAGATGTACATTTTTGACATTTATTTTATATATCTAAATGCCATTTAACAAAGAAAAATCAACCAAAAAAATGAGTTCGCGTGTCACCTCTGACACGCGTGTCATAAGTTCGCCATCACTGGTCTAGTATGAGGCCACTAGCATCTGTGGGTAGCTACTGAGCGCCTGGACTGTGCAGCCCAGACTGAGACAGGCTGTCTGTGTAAAAGACACGCAGGACTTGGAGCAAACAAAGTAAAATATCTTAATGCTTTTACATCGATTACATGTTAAAACAATACTATTTTGTATACATAAGGTATTTATTAAAGATCATTTCATCTTGTTTGTTTTCTTACTTTGTTTTTAAATGTGGCTGCTAGAAAACTATTTTATTTCATTTATTTATCTTTTAAAGCATATTTTGTTGATTTTTAGAGAGAGAGGAAGAAAAACATCTATGTGAGAGCATAACATCAGTTGCCTCCCGCATGCCCCCTACTGGGGATGGAGCCCACAACCTGGGCATGTGCCCTGACTGGGAATGGACCCAGCGATCTTTTGGTGCACAGGACGAAGCCCAACCAACTGAGCCACACCAGCCAGGATGCTGCTAGGAAATTAACTGCCTACACGGCTCACATATATTTCTAAGCCACACTGCTGTTCCAGAGCAGAGGCTGGCAAACTGTGACCTGTGGGCCAAACCTGACACGCTGCCCGTTTTTATACGACCCGTGAGGACTTTCGTATGTTAAATGGTTCAGAAACAAACTGGAAAAGAAAAATATTTCATGACATGGGGGAACGGTATGAAATTTAAAATGTGGTGTTTACAAATTAGGTTTTATTGGAACACAGCCCAGCCCATTCAGTGGCATATTGTCGAGGGCTGCATTCTCGTTGCAACAGCAGAGAGAGAAGCCGGGACCCTGTGTCCATCAGGGCAGAAGCTGCTCTCTGGGCTTGGAGAGTGAAGGTGTGCTGACTTCTGCCCCCAGCATTAGTTTTCCACCTTCACTGGGTATCCGGTCCAGCTGTGGAATCTGAAAATGCAGGTACGTGGCCCCAGTCCCCGGTTCAGTGGGTGTGGGACTGGGACCAGGAATCTGCATTTTGATTTCTTTTGTTAATCCTCACCTAAGGGTGTTTTTTTTTCCCCCATTGCTTTTCAGAGAAAGAGTGGAAGGGAGGAGGAGAGAAACATCAATATGAGAGAGACACATCTATTGGTTTCCTCCTGCACGAGCCACCACAGGGGGTGGGGAGCAAACCTGCAACCCAGTCATGCCCTTGACTGGAACCCACAACCCTCTAGTGCAGTGGTCGGCAACCTGCGGCTCTTTGGCCCCTTGAGTGTGGCTCTTCCTAAGCCTTAGGAGTACCCTAATTAAGTTAATAACAATGTACCTACCTATATAGTTGAAGTTTAAAAAATGTGGCTCTCAAAAGGAATTTCAATCGTTGTACTGTTGATATTTGGCTCTGTTGACTGAGTTTGCCGACCACTGCTCTAGTGCATAGGCCAATGCTCTAACCACTGAGAACACCGGCCAGGGGAGGATATACATTTTCACCAGAGCTGCTGCTGGCATTGGCAGGCCCTTACTCCCTCTGCCGGGCAAGGCGCTAAGCTCTTTCTGTGCATCGTTTCATTGAACGCTGGTGGGTCAGACACTGGAACTGTCCCCTTTGCACAGAGGAGGACCCTGAGGCTCGGAGGGTGACAGGCCCGACCAGCACCAGCACGGGAGGTGCTCCAGATCCCTTTGTTGTCCAGTAGAGGAATGTGCCCACCCGTCCTGCTGATGACGCCGGGGCCTTTGTGCTGGGCCGGAATGTCTTCCTGCCTTTCTCTGCTTGTGTTTACCCCGGATGCTGTGGGCTGAGCTGAGCTGCATCCCAGGGGGCTGCCTTGCAAAGGCTGTGTGTGGCGTCCCAGGGGTGGGGAGGAGGGGGCTGAGTAGGCTCCAGGCGGAGCTGTGATTTAATAAGCAGACACTTAGGGCCCTGATGCAGGGCCCAGCCCGTGCAGGACAGCCCTCTCTGCTAATTGTCCACTGGCTGCTGCGTCGGCGGCCGCCGTCCTGCCGGCGTCTCCTGGCTCATTAGGGAAGGGAAGCGGGGGGGGGGGGGGGCTCTGGGAAGAGCCCCCTCCAGCTCCAGTGGCTTCCGAGATTTTTATCACACTGGACAGCACGGTTCCATCCGCTCATCTAAAGGAGGATCAAAACAAGGTCAGTCCTGTCCTGGGTGTCACCCCCCCTCCCCCCGGCTTGGCTTGGAAAGGATACAGGCTCTGGGTTCAAACCAAGATCACGAGCAAGAAACTCAAATCCTCTGGGCTCTGGGTCCCTGGCTGCAAAACGGTGATGGCGCAGCATCTTGCTCTCAGAGGCACCATGGTCTCTGGAGCTGGGCAGTCTGGGTTAGATCCCAGCATCACCTCTGATGAGCTGTGTGACTTGAGCAAGTGACCGAACCTCTCTGTGCCTCCGTTTCCTCATCTCTAAGAGGGCTGCTGCAAGGTTTAAGTGGCTTTCCAGAGAGACCAGGACCCGGGCCATGTGCATTTGCTCCTGTTATTGTCTCCAAGTGTTATAAGATGAAAATAAGGCGGAATGGAAAAGTGCAACAATAAAGGTGATTTTTACTTATGGCCATTTCTTCAGGAAGTGGTTAGAGATGCAGCGGAGACTGGCTGGCTATTCCTCCAATCCCCTTGCTCCTCCTCCCAGCACCCAACCAGATCGCATTTCCCAGACTCTCTTAAGCTTGGGGGGGCACCATGTGATTGAATCTGGAAGCTGAGCTGTGTGGTTTGCTGCCTCTGAGCCTGGCTGTCCTTATAAATACCTCTCTCTCAGGGTCCTCACACTTTTCCCCTGGGTCCTATTTCTCTTCTGCATTGGGGAGGATACTTGGGCATAAAAGGAGGCAGCGTCCAAGGTTAAGGCCCCTGGCCCTGAATGACTGTGTGGAGTCATTCCTTGCTGCCACCCCGCCCGGAAATCAGCAAGAAACAGATTGGTTTTGGGTCAAGACACAGACATTTTAGAGTTGCTGCTGCTGCTTTAGCAACTGGCATACCCTGACTGATACAGAGGACAAGAGTGTCCCGGGCTGGGAGGAGAGAGAGTGTCCCGGGCTAGTTTCTGTGGACAGCTGTTGTCACGTTCTAGGGAGAACATCGGGCCACAAAGCAGAAACGGCAGATGCTCCAGATTCAGTTCACTTGTCTCCTGTGTGACTTTGATTGAGTGGAGTAAGCTCTCTGAGCTGTCACTTTTTTCCCTTGAAAAGAGACATAGAAGAGCTTCATCGGGAGCAGTTACAAGGATTCCCAGACGTGCATCTGTGACAGTGTCTAGAACATGGGGTGCACGATCGGGGCTTTGAAGCTGCTGTTCCATTCTGTCCCCATGAGAGCAGCTTCTGCCCTCAGAGTGGCTCATGTCCCCACCCCCGACTGTCTTCTGCATCCTTGGGTTGGGGGGTAGGTCTTCCTTTCCCCAGTGACAGGCTGGGTGGTGAGGTGTGGGAAGGAACATCTCAGGTGAGCCTCAGAGACTGCCCCCGGCATCCATTCTCCTAGGGACCCTGTGGTCTGGCAGGCCTCAAGGGGACCAGACGGGAGGCTGCAGAGGCTGATGCTCAGCGAAGGTGTGGTTCCCTCTTCCTGGAATGCTCTTCCTGCTCCTCTTCAGCAGCTGGCTCTTTGCCACCCTTCAGGCATAGCCCCTGGACCTGCTCGCTGAAGTAGGTCTGCTGGTCTCACAGACCTGGTTCTTCTCTTTCATAATAACCATTATTATAATTTGTAACATTGTATTTATTTGTGTGATAACCTATTATCCCCAGAGGATAACTGCCTAGAGGGCGGAACAACATTTGTATAAAGGATTTTATCTGCAGGGTTCACTATTTTAGTGGCAGTAACCAGAGCAGTGAGCGATAGTTGGTTGAATACTTGAATAAAGGCCAAGCTTTGACACCTGTCAGCTGAATAACCTTCAGTAACAACGTTATTTAATCAGGGTGAGTTTAATCATGTATAAAATGTACAAAAGTACCTAGTGAAAAATAAAGGGCTTTTTTTTGCCTGGCTGGTGTGGCTCAGTGGTTGAGTGCCGACCCATGCACCAAGAAGTCATGGTTCAATTCCCAGTCAGTGCATATGCTAGGGTTGCAGTCTTGATCCCAGTAGGGTGTGTGCAGGAGGCAGGAGGCAGGAGGCAGCTGGTCGATGTTTCTCTCTCACTGATGTTTCTATTTCTTTCTCCCTCTCCCTTCCTCTTTCTCTAAAAAACAAAACAAACAATAAAACATTTTAAAGATATCAAAAATAAAAAAAATAATAAGGGTTTTTTAAAAATTATCATTCAATGCTGGGCACATAGTAAGGATTCAAGAAATGGTAATTTCTCCTATTGCTGTTGGAAGGGGTGCTGGTAGCTGTCTTGGGTTAGGTTTCCTCAGAGCAGACCCCGAACTAAGGATGGCTTATCTAGAAGGTGACCCTGAGAAGCAGAGAAGGGATGGCAAAGGGAATGGTACCAATTTCAGGGGCGTACAGTGAAGCCCGGCTCTCCTGCCCTTGAGCATGGGAAGAATTTAGTGAGTCACCTCTAACAGATAGAAGAAAGCGAGAGTGTCCGTGGGATCATGTGTAACTTCTGAGACTAGTTCATAAAAGCCAGCAAAACTTCCACATTGGTCTCTGTTCCTCTAGGATCACTCACCCAGTGGAATCCAGCAACCGTGGCAGGATACACCCAAGCTATCCTCTGGAGAAGCCCAGGTGGTGAGCAACTGAGGCTTTCTGCCCCAGCCCTGGGGGTCCAGCCACGCCTTCAGATGACTGTAGCCCTGGACAACATCTTGATGGTATCCCCCTCAGAGAGCCTGAGCCAGATCCACTAAGCCATGTCTAAAATACTGCCCACAACAACAATGAAATGATAGACACTGATTGCATTAAGCCACTGAGGTTTGGGGTCATTTGTTATGCAGCAATGGATAACTGATACACTGCACTGTGGAGCAGATCCCCATGGGGGCCAATGGGGATCTCAATCCTATGGGGAGCTCTGGGAGACTGCATAGAGAATATGCTCCAGAGCTAAGCCTGTGGAGGGGTGAAGAAGCTGGGTGTTTCTTTTCCAACACCCACCATCATTGGTAGAGTTTGCTCCTGGGGCATTAGACCCCAATATTTCTAGCGTGCTCCTCCCTGAGGCCAAAGGAAAGCCCTCAGGTGGAAAGCAGAGGGTGCCTAGACTTGGTGCCACAGGAATATAGAACAGTGGGTTTTGAGGGGATGTTGGTGGAGTACTGACATTGTCTGTTATAGTGGTAGACATGAAAGATTTTTTTATAGGTTCCCAAATTCCCTATTTTTTTCTTTTTTCATAAAGAGGAGGCATTAAAAGTTATTATGAAATGTTTGTTAGTATGAAACAGGTAAACAAATGTTCGTCTGTTTACCTGTGGGGTTGTTTCATGATAACAAATCCATCAATCTGAAGGGTTCCTGGTTGGTGAAAGTGGAAGTTTGTTGTTTGTTTGCTTCCTTCTTTCATAAACTTACAGGGTAGGGGCATAAAAGCCACATACAACAGAGTGCCTCATTCTGACATTGAATGTAACGCAGTACAATTAGGCAACGCAGGTCTCGGAAAATGGCCTCTTTCTATTACCTCATAAAATATCTGATACTGAACTCTGTAAATTACATCAGTGCCTTTGAACAAACATCGACTTCTTTTTAATAAATAAAATGTTCAAAATTATTTCCTGGAAGTGCATTTTAGACATTAATAACTGGCTTCAAATGAAATTCCATTTCATAGCGATAAGCAAATGTAATTTCTGGAAACTAAAACAGTGTGTGAGGCTTACCTGCTCCAGCAGGGAAAGGAAATATTGAGCTAATGTGGCCATCAAGATATATAACCTGCTACTTCTTGAATAAACCAAATTCCATCCCTAAACACAGAGGGCTCAGAAATTCAGACCCAAGGACATAAATATACGGTATTTCCTGGAATTAGTTTCATATGTTTTATACATTGCCGTTATCAATTGATCTGACACGACATCTTAGGCAGTTTTAAAATTACATATTGTGCATCAGAAAAATCTACATTTTCGTGGCATCTGGTACTCTGTGTTATCAAAAGCACGTAGTTATTTAAGTAAAAGAAAAAAATCAGTGTTTCCACATCATTAAAAGAAGAAGAATTTCAATAGTAGGAATCTTTGTTCTAGTCCTTGCATCGGAGGTCAACAAACTGTGCCCATGGACCCAGTCTGCCTCACCACTTTCATAGGGCCCACGAGCTAAGAATGCTTTTACGTTTTAAAATTATTATTACTTTCTTAATCCTCACCTGAGGATATTTTTCCCATTAATTTTTAGAAAGAGTGGAAGGGAGGGAGGGAGTAGGGGAGAGAAAGAGAGAAACATCGATGTGAGAGAGACACATTGACTGGTTGTCTCCCAAATGCGACATGACTGGGGCTGGGGATCAAACCTGCAGCCCAGGTACGGACTGGCCCTTGTCCAGGAATCGGGAATTAAACCCACGACCCTTTGGTACTCAGGCCAATGCTCTAACCACTGAACCACACCTGTCAGGGCTGGTTTTACATTTTTAAATGGTTGGGGGAAAAACAGAAGAAGAGCTTGTGACATGAAAATCATATGAAATTCCAAGTTCAGTGTGAGTAAAGTTGGACTGGAATTCAGCCATGCCTGTCATTTACCTGTTGTCTGTGGCTGCTTTTGCTGCATTAACACAGCTGACCTATGACCTGCAACGTAGAAAATATTTACTACCTGGCCCTCTAATGAAAGATATTTGCTGATCCCTGCACTATACCCTCCCCATCACCACTCGAGGGAGTTAAAAAAGGAAGTTTTATTGAGGACTCAGAATACTGGGAAGGGTAGACATCCATGTTTGGCTTTATGCACCATTCACTGCCCAGGGTCTCTGGAAGCCTATGCCAGGATAGCAAAGACAGGACGGGTCCTGGGGTGAATGGCATCCCCAGAAAACCCCAGAGTCACTGATGGTCAGACAAGCCCCAATAATGTGTCCCCCACCCACACCCAGAGTTGATTTGTCTGAGTGAGTGAACTACATAAATTGCCTTCACTATCTTCTTCATTTGAACCTCTGGAGACACATATACGATCAAGCAGGAGGAAGAACAGTGGCTGAGGAGGTAGGATGGAACAAGGAGCCACAGGCAAATGCTTCAGCCTTCGATGTCTATTACCATCTCTTTCTAAGAAGCTTGGTAGATCTAATTTGATCCCCATTCACCTGAGGTCACTTTTAAAAAAATGGTCCTATTATTTCAACTTTCTCTTTAAAAACCTTATGTTTAAAATGACAAAACCAACACAAATAGATAAAAATTGCACATGTTCCTCATGGTAGATTGTTAATATTTTGCTCTGTCTTCTAGGTGCATTTGTGGGCATGCGTGTGCTTCATACTCCGATGAGGACCTCTACGCCAATCGGATTTCTGCAGCATCAGTAATGCCTGCCCAGGGGGCCCTTTAATTTAGTCAATCAGTCCCCGGTTGTTGGGCATATCAGTTGTCTGTCAGCTTTTTTGTTTTGTTTTAATAACTGTAAATAGTGTGTGGATGAACATCTTTAGAACTAAACAGTTAGACACATCCCTGAGTATTTTCTTAGAATATATTTGAAAAACTAGTATTGGGGGAAGGGGAGGTTGGGGGTTAATGGGGGGATGAGGACACATTTGTAATACCTTAACTGATAATAAAAAAAAAAAAAAAGAAAGAAAGCAAGCTAAGGATAAGAAAAAAAAAAGAAAAAGAAAAACTAGTATTGGGGTCCCCAAGTGGACTCATATTGTAAAGACATTTGGTACACATTATAAAACTGCCCCTGGGAACGGTCTTTCCTCCAGCATTGTGTGATAGTGGCTGTTACATATGCACACATGCATGCACACACATTCATTTGATATTTTCTGAGAACCTGTTATGTGCAAAGCACTTTCTAGGTACTGAAAATATAAGCAAAGGAAGGGGGGGGGACAACAGAAAAAATATCATTTGTATGCCGCTGAATATGTTCATCTAACTATCCATCATCCATCTATCCACCCACCCACCCTCCACTCACCTATTCTCCATCCATCCATTTATCAATCATCCACTACCCATCCATCCATCCTCCATCCATCTATCCAGTAACTCTAAGCAGTAACTCTTGCCCTCATGGAGTTTATATTCTAGTGGAGGAGAGAGATAATAAAAAATATGTAGTTTGTTAAATGGTAATAAGTGCTAAAGAGGAATGAAAAAGGATAGGGAAGGGACATCTGAAATGTTGGTGCATAAATAAAATGCCAACATTAAATAGGACCATCAGAAAAGGTCTCCCTGAGAAGGGACCTTTGAGTGAAGACCTGAAGGAGTGAGGACTCACTGTGGACATCTGACAGGAGATCATTCCAGACAAAGGAAAAGCAAGGGCAAAGTCCTTGAGGCATGACTGTGCCCGGGAGGGTGTGAGGAGTAATTCAGTGGTCAGTGTGGCTGGAGCAGAGAGAGAGAAGGAGGGGATGAGGTCTGAGTTACAAGGTGTTGGGTCATAATAGAAACTTGGCTTTTACTGTGAGTGGTATGTGAAACACTGGGGCAGAAAAATGACATAATTTTATGTCTTAATAGAATAAATCTTGCCTCTATGTTGAGAACTGAACTGAAGGGGAACAGGTGGGAATAGAAAGGTTATTTAGGAGGCATTGGACTAATCTGGAGGGGAAATGTGGTGACTTGCCCAGGTGATAGTAGTGGAAGGGATAAGTGGTATATTTTGATTACATGTCAGCTAATTATATACATAGATGCACAGATAGGTGGATGGGTGCATAAATACATGGGTGGATAGATAATGGGTGGATGATAGATGGATGCATGGATGGATGTATGAATGGATGGGCAGATGGATGGATGGATTCATGAATGCATGGATGGGTGGATGCATGGATGGGTGGATGCATGGATGGATAGATGGGTGAAAAGATAGGATAGGACAGGATATCTATAATAATAGAAGTGTAATATGCTAATTAGACCGGACAGTCGGACATCCTTCTGGACGAAGCCAGGGCTGTGAGGGCCAAGGCAAGCTGCTGCAGCTGCAAGAGCTGAGCCCCGTGCACAAATTTCGTGCATCGGGCCTCTAGTAATATATAAGTGAACATATAATAGTAGAAGGGAAGACCAGTAAGATTCTTAGCTTAACCTAGAAGGGGTGGACACAGCACATTTTTTTTTTCATTATATTCAGCATTTCTTTGCAGCCATGCTGAATTTTAAAAGTACTTAAACAGCTTCTGAAAAACTGTAGTATAGGCTTTTCTGTCTTTTTCCAGTATAGAATTTGACTCAAAAGGAAAAAAAAAAGTTTTGCTTGTATACAATGCTTTCTTTAATCTTTATGTTTATTTTTGTTCCAAGCATGGTATTATTTATCTATTTATATTGTATATGTAAAAAGTGATAATTTAAATATTTTTACATGAAACTGTGATGTTCTTTACTCTGGGTGTTCTGGGTCTTAGAGTCATGGCAAGGGTATTCATGCAAATGTGCACCTGTAAACTTGTAGCTCCCTATTTCTCCTTTAGGCTCCTGGACTAAAATATTCATTTAAGTTCTGTGTGTTTCTAAAATAAATATTTCTAAAATTAAAAAGAAATAAATTCAGCATGCCTGAGTGACTTATTCCCTACCTCATCAATACCGGAGGTAGATATTATTATAAAAATTTATAGAGGAAGAAACTGAGATTCAGAGTTGTCACTCCCGTGAGGTCAAACAGCTAGCAACCTAAGAACTGGCTGGGAAGCATGTCCTCTAACACCAAAGAAAATATGGGGAAGAGAAAGGAGAGAAAGGAGAGGGAGAGAGAGAGAGGGAGGGGGGGAGGGAGAGAGAGAGAGCAACTAGCCAGTTTCTTTGTAAGTAAAAGGATCAGAAATGGAGGACAGGGACTAACAGGCAGTCACCTGGAAGGAGACAAGGATCTTTCCGTATCAGATGACTGGATATGACACAGTGGAGGCTGCATCCGCGCACGTCATGCCCTTTCTCCAAGGCTGCAGTTATTTATCTGCTTGAGCTCTTGTTTTTTCCCTTGCTTTAAAGTGAAGTGCGCAAACATTCTTACTTCAAAGGGGAAAAATCCTCATAAATGTCATTTTACTGCCGGCCTAGAAGAATAGCATCAACAGACCCTGAAAATATGGCCGGGGGTGGGAGGCGGGGGAGTTGGGACTCCAGGCACATCTGTGATGAAGAGGCAGAGCGGTCACTGGCCACTTCCTCTAGAAGGGAGGGCAGCCCGGAATGAACCCGCTGAGCACAGGCCCGGAGCAGCGAAGAGCATGGCACTGCTGAAGTTCAAACCCCAACTGTGCCTCTTTTCAGCTAGACAAGTCACTCAGCAACTCTGAGCCTGGTTTTGTCACCTGTAAGATGGGCATGATTTAACAGTAACCACTGCAGGGAGGCCTTGTTAAGATTTTTTAAATTAACAAATGGAAAGGGCCTAGCACACAAATCCTTAGCAGAAAGGAGCTATTGTCTCTGGGCATCTTTTATATGAATGGAGCTCTGTCTTATTGTCCTGCCACTGCCTGTGATAGAAAGTGTGAGGGAGGTGTCTTCTCATACATGTGGACGTTCCAGATGTAAATTATCAGGTGAGATGCAGATTCCCAGGTAAGAAATGGGAATCTGGAAGGCAGGCTGTAGAAAGTGGCTGACACTATTGACTAGAGACTCAAGATTATTCCCACTCCCTTCTTCGCTACCTCCCAACAGAGAGGCTAGGAAGTCAGATACACACATTGTCAGCCTCCCTTGCAGCTATGGGGTTCAGAAACATAAATGAAAGTCTGCTGGGAGAATTTTGGAAACTTTGTAGTTCAATAAAAAGGGACAGTTGGAACTAGCAAAGCCTTTTCTGGTGTCTTTCCCTCCTCCCCTTCTGGGAATGCAGAAAGTGACCAGCTCATGGCCATGAGGGAAAGCCCAAGAGAGTCATAACCGTTTCCTAGGCTTATTGACCCAACAGACTTCTGTTATTTGAGTGATTCAAGTCACTGGAGTCAGGTTTTCTACTATTTGCATTCCTAGCTAATACAAACTTAAGAGAGAGAAGTCCTTCCTCCCCTAAAGCCCAGCTCCCTCGGATCTCAACTTCAAGTAGCCTAGATGTATCTGAGGGTACTTCCAGCTTGTGGGGAAATGCTGACCTCTGCTTTACCAATTGCCGAAAAATAGGCAGGAGACACCCTAATGATGTTTCAAGCTGAGATTCACATAACAAAGATGGGACAAATTGTCTATTTGCTCTCCCTTCCCTCTTCGTTTATCTCCTGTGTCGTCCCAGAGCCCTCAGCAAAGTGCTTTTAGCAACCTGGCCTCTGACGGTCTATATGGAATTAACAGAGTTGTGCATCTACGTAAGCAAGATTGCTGAATGGCGAGTGGGGACAGGCCAAGGGAAACTGCTCTCTTGGAAGAAAGGAAATCATGGCTTCAAGATCTCCTCACTTCCTTGACACCATGAGGGAGCAGAGGCTGATTTTATTCAGGAGCCTGGCAGAACCCTAGCTGCCTCAGCAGAATTTTCCACACAGTGTCCCTCCTAAACTGGCTTGGCTAGAATAGGAGTTCATAGACCTCTGGGCACCTCAAGCCCGTTTACATTGCTTGTTCAATTTTCCCAAAAGCCAAAGCACATGTCTACTTCAGATGCATTTCTTTATGTTCTTCCTTAGAGGAAATGGTTCTGCCACTGCTGTCCTTAACCATTCACTCACTCATGCATGGATTGACTGACTGATTAATGGACTGATTCTGCTAACATTTATTGAGCACCTACTATAGGCCAGATTCACATGGAGTAGAATTTCAAGAATGACAAGTGACACATTCCTGCTTTGGCAAGGACACAATATTCTGTATTCCATCTGTTTCCTGCACTAAACCTTCTGCAAAACTTCCTCCCAATCTTTTCATTTCATAATTTATCACAATAAGAGTCACAATTTTTATTGCTTTTGCTCTAAGAATCTGGTTACAGTTGTTCAAACAGTTTGCTAAGTCACTCTGCAAATACATTTTTAAAAATATCTTGGCATGTCTAGAGTTTTCATTGGAGAATTCTACCTGACTTCATTATGTCTGTACAGAGAGCGGGAGTGTATGGAATGGGATACATTACAAAGCCTTTATAGGAGCTTTGAAAAGTGGGGGACCGATTGCCTTGCTTAGGACATATGACCACACCACCACCTGGTGGTAATGTTGTACCTGAAGCCATGGGAGGAACGTGGCTGGGTGACCCCAAACTTAAATTTCCAATGAAACTCATGAATTGCAAAGAGATTTTTTACAGATGAAGCTGAAAGGAGCCAAAGAGCCCATATAGGGTCACATCTCAAGGATGTGACAAGATGCAGTCGACACTGCCGATCATGATCTCCACCTGCGATGTTCACGGGGGTGGTAACTGTCCACAGGCATGAAGTGCTGCTCACATGGCTGACTTGGGATATGAATGCCTATTGCCTCCATCTCACAGCTGAGAAAACTGAGGCTCAAAGAGGTTATGGTACC